TTTTATGCTTATCTCTGTTCATGCCACAGAACATCGCCTATCACTAGCTGCAACTTCGGGAGACGGGAAAGATCCAAGTGAGAAGGTTCGTATGTCCATGTCTTCGATCTCTGCAGCAGTTCAGGGGAAGTGATGGTGGGGGGTGTGTGTGTGTGCACGCGCGTGTGTGTCTGCAGTTCAGGGGAAGTGGTGGTGTGTCTGTGTGTGTGTGCGCGTGTGTGTTTGCAGTTCAGGGGAAGTGGTGGTGTCTGTGTGTGTGTGCGCGCGTGCGTGTTTGCAGTTCAGGGGAAGTGATGGTGGTGTGTCTGTGTGTGTGTGCGCGCGTGTGTGTTTGCAGTTCAGGTGTGTGTGTGTGCGCGCGTGCGTGTTTGCAGTTCAGGAGAAGTGATGGGGTGTGTGTGTGTGCGCGCGTGCATGTTTGCAGTTCAGGTGTGTCTGTGTGTGTGTGTGCGCGCGTGCGTGTCTGCAGTTCAGGGGAAGTGATGGTGTGTGTGCGCGTGTGCGTGTTTGCAGTTCAGGGGAAGTGATGGTGTGTGTGCACGCGTGCGTGTTTTCTCTTGTACATCAGAGGCGCCGCAGCCTGCGTGCGGTTCACCAGTGCACCCAGAGAGACAGCAAGGTGTTTCCAGCCTCTGGGCTTGGGGGCTGGACAGGCGTGAGGAGCAGCCAGAGTCTGCCTGGTACAGGAACCATGAGCATCTCAGCTGTGGGGGAAGAAGGTTAACACTCCTGGCTCAGCGAACACCAGCAATGTCCTCCTAGTCCCTCTCCTCTTGTAGTTAGTTATTCATCCTCCTAGAACTTTCTTTTCCAGTAAGAGAACACACACCGAGGCAGGGTACAAGAAAGTGGAGCTCAGCTCCTCTGGCGGCCTGCCCACACCCGCTGAGTCACTCATAATGGCCCCTCAGATGTCATTTTCTTGCTAAGACATTTGGAATAATTTCTGGTTCTAAATCACACGCAAACAGTATAATTCAACAATCTTCCCTGAGTTATTCAAGGAACTTCAATGCACTCAGAAGTGGAAGATCGGGGCGGATGAAATCAATGAGTTCTCTGAGTGCTCTGTTTTTCTCTGAATTCTATTTCATTTGCCAAATGGAGGGTGGGGGCAGCTCCATCTGACCCCTGGGGGATAACTCCTGGGGGAAGTCTGGAAGCAGCCGATTCAGGGTTTCTGGGTGACACTGGTTTTTCTTATCTTCCTGGTTCTATTCCTGTAACAGACCCAAGTGTCATGCAGGAAAAGGCTTGCTGCCATGGAGCCTTCTGTGGACTGCTGTGACAGGCCGCTGGAAGAGAGGGTTTCAAGCTCAGGGCTGGGCTGGTCCCGGCTGGGAATCTCAGTGTTGTGGGCCATGGGCGTCCTCACCACATTTGCTGGGAGGAAGCTCCTGCCCTCCGCCCTCTGGGACAATGCTTGCTGATCTCACCTGAATGCAGTCACTGCTAACCTGCCTTGGTCACAGCCCTTTGTTGGGGGGCAGAAAACAACTTTGTCACTCATCACAGTGGCCACTGTTAGTCACTTGCTGCAGTTCAGGACTGGGGGCGGTCACCTTCACCTGGCAAAACAGACCTTGGGGTCGTGCTGGCATCTCCAGGGGCACTGTTCGCCTATGTCCTGCACAGGGCCCGCTTCTACCAGTCCGAGGGCAAGGCAGACTGTATTCCCCACCTCATTGCTGGCACTAAGTTGGCACTCAGAGGAGAGCTGTTTCCTCTGGGGAGCAGGTACCTTCAGAAATAAGGACAAGAGAGTTGAGACGGGATGCACGGCTTTCCAGACCCGCTGCCTTTCCTGCCACTCTGTTCTGCCCAGACATTTTCAATTGAGACAAGCCCCGATGCCCACGGCCATGTCAGGTCTGCCGCATGGTAGGTGCTCCGTCTGTAGGTGTGGAATGCATGGGCCTGTCTGCACCAAGAGCCGCATCTCCCCCTCCCACCCTGTGAAGCCCACTTGAAAACCACCACCGGCAGCTACGTGTTAGGGGGCAGCCCTGGCAGGCTCATTCCTCACACCAACTTGTGACGCGGGAACTTTTATTTCATTTTTCATGTGAAAAAATCCAGGTTTAGGGCGAAGATGAGCCCCTGGGTGGTGGAGCTGCCACTCCGCCCCTCACCCTCTCACAGCCCAGCGTCCAAAGCTCAGCGCTTGCCTGGCCTGAATAAACATGGCCGGCGATACAGGAATCAAAGCAAACAGGGCTTCTCTCTCTTTCCTCCTTTTTGCCAACTGCCCCATTAACAGAAAAACCTTTTAAGCGCCCCCCCTGGAAACCTGGCTTTTTCCCCTCCCTAAGCAAACTGAGATGGCCAAGAGGAATGTGCTGCAGTGCGGAGGGTGGGCGGAGGACCCCAGCACCCTGGATCCTGCTCACATGGCAAAGAATGAACACAGGCAGATCAGAAATGCCCCTTGGGCCCAGTCCCGTGGTCCCTGCAGCGAGGCGGTTTGTGGCCAACAGGGGCTCCTTTCAGGAGCTGGGCCACAGAAGGCCGCGGCTGCCCACTGGTCACACCTTCCCATAATAGCTCACTACGGTTATTCCATATAGTCTGTCCCCAAACATCCAGGTTTCATGGAGCAGTTTATACCTTCAGCCTAGACCACCTCTCACAGAATGGAGGAAAAAGGTGACCCTATCTAGAGAAGGACACACTTGTGAATAAACACATCACTGGCTTTAAGAACACAGCCCGCTCTGAGCATCACTGCTCAAACTTGCCCAGCTGTCGATGTGCCCTTAACAAACATTTACTGAGGCCCTGCCATGGATCAGGCACTTTGGGGACTCAAAGATGAAATGACACGGACAGCTCCCAGGCTGGCAGGAGATAAGGCATGTGTATAAGTAATTAGCAAACAGGGCCATGTGTGGCACTGCAGGTTCAAGTGCTCTGGTCCCCAGGAGGGGAGGTGTCTCTGGCGAAGGAACCGCCTGTGGGAAGATCATGGAGCTGTCTTTGGTCTCTGGAGGAGTCTGATAGGCAGGGGCCCCTGGGTGGGGAGGGAGGCTGGGGAGAGCTGGTGGGGACAGACAGAAGGGGGAAAAAGGTCGAGGCATGCCGGGAGAGAAGCTGGAAGTGAGGCAAGATGGGCTAACGTCTATGGAAACAGAATGGTCTGTTCTTAATTTTAAAATGGTCTGTGTTAATTTCTGAAAAACACTGCTGAGGACCTGTGAATATCCTCCTCTTGAATTTGCACATTCTTCTCTTTACCTTTGGGCAGGGAGGAGGGCTGACTGGACCGGAAGCATCTGTGAGTCATGTGACATTCAGGTTTGAGCACAAAAATGTTCCAAACTTAAGAGAAACATTGCAAGGGTACTAATCTTGTGCTAACTTTGAAAAGACTCAGCAATTGTTACCACTTTGCCCCTTTATTTAACTGCTGTCTCTCTGTTTATCACATTATTGTGGTTGTGGAACTGGTTCAGAGTAAGCTGCCAGCATCACAACGACCTTGAAGTACAGTGCTTCATAATATGGGATCTCCTGGAAACAAGGACTTCCACTTAGAACCACCGTACCATGATCAAAGTCAAGAAATGGAACACTGATACTATTTTCCAGTATACACAGTTCTTATTCGAATTTTGACAATTATCCTCACACCATCCTCTATAGGAGCCCTCTTCCCTGGTCCTGGATCCAGCCCAGGATCACGGGGTACACTGTCAGTACTCAAGGGCAGCCTGGGATCTACACACTAGACAGAGGTGAGAAGCAGTCCCAGTCTGGGCACTCTTAGGACAGAGTGCTCTCTTCTTCCCCACCTCTAGGTTTCTCTTCTAGTTTATAGCTCAGGCCCTTTGGCTGTGTATTTGAGCTCCTCTGCAAGTAAGCAGAAGCGATTTCCCCAGACACTCCATCGCTAGGAACTTTCCTGATTGTGTTCCTGACCTCACATCCTGGGCCCCACCAGGCCTGTAGAGGGAACACAAGGCTTAGGAGTCAAACCTGGGCTTGGGGCACAGGAAGCATAGGCTCCTCATGGATCAGGCTGGGCTCCAATGCTTCAACCAAGGTCACGGGTCTGGCAAGAGGCAGGGGAGGGAAGCACCTCCAGGGCTTCTGGCTCTGAGTTCAGCAGTCTTGCCTTGAGTCCCTGTCCTGAGAGATGTGTCCTTGAGCTGCTCCAGAGCTAGGAGTGCTCTCTTCCTAAGTAAGCCAGAGTTCCACAAGTGCAGGATCTGGCCGCATCTACCTCCTTCATTCCCTTGTCTGCAGCACCCAAGGTGAGCCCAGCATATGACAGGTCCCCTTCCATAGCCATTCAAGGAATGGGGGCAACCTCAGGGTGCCCGGCAGACGCTAAAGAGGCCTTGAGAGGCAGGTGCTCGCTGGGTGGTGGTTGTCCACATCCTCAGGGCTTCAGGAGACCTTGCCCTGTACCTGCCCACCTGCACCTTGAGAGCTCAACAGGCACAAGGCAGTGCCTACCAGCTCTCCCCTTCTGAGTCAGTGCTCTCATGCCTTCTCGGGGAGTCCATTCCCCATCTTCTTTGGAAGTGTCCACCTTCTCTCCTCCAGGTGGTGGGGAACTGCCATCCTCCTGGGCAAGGATATGGAGCTGGTGTTTGGCCTGGATGCCCTTGCCTGGTTGGAGGTAATAAAGCCTAGGGCTGGCTTTCAACGTTGATAGAAGCTTGGTGGCAGAGGATGTACTGAGGACCAGGAGACAGAACAGCTGCTTTCAAGCTGCTGAGTACCCAGCCTGCTGCCACTTAAGTACTGCGTGTGAGGGAATGCAATTTTTTTTTTTTTTTTTTGACAGAGTGTTGCTCTTGCCCAGCCTGGAGTGCAATGGCGTGATCGTGGCTCACTACAACCTCTGCCTCTCAGGTTCAAGCAATTCTCCTGCTGCAGTCTCCTGAGTAGTTGGGACTACACGTGTGTGCCACCACACCTGGCTAATATTTGTATTTTTAGTAGAGATGGGGTTTTGCCATGTTGGCCAGGCTGGTCTTGAACTCCTGACTTCTGGTGATCTGCCCATCTTGGCCTCCCAAAGTGCTGGGATTACAGGAGTGAGCCACCACACCCAACTCTAAGGGAATGCAATTGGGAGTCCATTTTGTTCTTGGAGAATTCAGGGTCTGGTAAAGGGACCCTATGGCAAATATTAAGACCATGGCAGGAAAGACGGAACGACAGAGCGGGAGCTGGGAAGGCGCAGCCCAGCCCTGGCATGGACAGGGCAGGGGTCCAAGAGGCCTGCAGGACACTGCAGAGTAACTTGCAGACAGGGTGAGAAAGGGCATGTGGGGGAGGGGCAGGCAGACAGCGCCTGATGCAGGCAATCCTGGGACCTGTGAGGCCCAGCTGTGAAGCCTCCCGCCGCGTTGGGGCACGGGGCTTCTGGGGACCAAAGTCTTGAAAAGGGGCCGGGAAGTTGGACAGGGAAAGCCCTTGGAGGTGGTCTGGTTACCTGGGTGAGCTAGGAGCCAGAGTCATCACATCACAGGCATCAGGGCCAGCATGGGCACCTAGAAGCCTGCAAACAGTGCCAGCCTCCAGGCACTGAGGTGGCCTTTAATCTTGCACTCACTCTCTAGGAAATGATGGGGCAGTATTCTGTGCTGAGAGAGGAAAAACACCCCCTTCCAAAAGCATGACAGGCAGAAAGCAGAGAAGGGCCAGGACTGGCTGAGGGCGGGGAACTGGGCCTCTGGGGTGGACACACCCTTGGTCACATTGCGAGGGTAGCTTAGTTGGCCAGTCCCACCACTGCAATGACCACAGTTGTGTTGGGCTCACACCAGTGAACCAAGGCTCTGGATTCTGAGAGTCTGAGGATTCTGTGAAGATCTCAGACTTGGGCTCACAGCAAGGATGCGTGAAATTGTCCATATTCAGATTGGCCAGTGTGGCAACCAGATCGGAGCCAAGGTAAGTAATGTCTGGTTACTAATCCTAGCTTTGCCACAGTCCACAGAGGCGGACAACCAAGAGAATACCCTAAGTTAGCAGGGAAGACAATGAGTCGAGCAGATTTCATGTACTTGCTAAATATCAGACAATGCCTTTGGGCTTTAAAAAAATTCTTAAAAAAAGAATTTCACACGGGAAAAGAAGGAAACAATCTTTAAAGAGCTACAAGATACATTAAGGGCTTACAGTGTTAAGTTAGTTAATTTTCTCCATAGACACCTAGGCACAACACATGCCAACCATTACATTATATAATATGCTTATCATCTTTTTCTTTGCCCACTCTGTTGCCCAGGCTGGAGTAGAGTGGCAGAATCATGGCTCACCACAGCCTCAACCTCCTGGGCTCAAGCTATTCTCCTGCCTCAGCCTCCTGAGTAGCTGAGATTATAGGCAGGCACCACTATGCCTGGCTAATTTTTTAATTTTTTTTGAGAGACAGGGATCTCACTTTGTTGCCCAGGCTGGTCTTGAACTCATGGGCTCAAGTGATCCTCCCGCCTCCGACTTCCAAAGTGGTGGGGTGACAGGTGTAAGCCACCGTGTGTGGCACTTTTATCATCTTTTATTTTTTTGAGATGGAGTTTTGCTCTTGTCGCCCAGGCTGGAGTGCGATGGCGTGATCTCGGCTCACTGCAACCTCCACCTCCTGGGTTCAAGTGATTCTCCTGCCTCAGCCTCCCCAGTAGTAGTAGCTGGGATTACAGGCATGCGCCACCATGTCTGGCTAATATTGTATTTTTAGTAGAGACGGGGTTTCATCATGTTGGTCAGGTTGGTCTCGAACTCCTGACCTCAGGTGATGTGCCTGCCTTAGCCTCCCGAAGTGCTGGGATGATAGGCGTGAGTCACTGTACCTGGCTTACTTTTATCATCTTAACAATGAACTTCTCATATCTAAAAACAGTAATTTGTCTCAAAACAGCTTTTTGAAGTTTTTTGAGAAACTTTCTATACGCTGTCACTATGCTGTCTTTTCCCTCCCCTCTCATGTTTATTATAGCCCTTAAAAAAATCAATTACTGTTTGATTAGTATGCAATTGAAAATTTAAGAGATAGACCTAAAATAAAGTTTTTGTGTACAGTAACATCATTAATTAAAATACACTCCCTGGAATATAAATGAGTTTTTCTCTCCCTTGCCCCCCTGCTTAAAATTTTCTACCAAGTATGTAACTTACTTGGCCAACCCCAAGAACACAGATGCCCGAGCCCAGGATCTCCAGTCTTGATTTTAAGATGGCCAACTGCACTGAGAAAATTTACCATGTTCTCTTTGCTATTGTGAAGTTACTTTTACTAATATGAGATGCATTAAAAGTAAGGTTTTAAAACTCTTTGCTATTGTGAAGTTACTTTTACTAATATGAGATGCATTAAAAGTAAGGTTTTAAAACACCTACATTCATCATCCATCAATGACACTTGGGTTGTTTCTGCCTTTTGGCTATTGTGAGTAATGCTGCTAGGAAACAACTAAGGCTTTTAAATGCAGGTGTTTTAATCCGGGGCAAAGAACATTACTGCTTGAAAAAGTCCAGGGGCGCGGTGGCAGCTGTAATAGCATTGGGGCAGGCGGGGGATCACAAGGTCAGGAGATGAGACGGTGAACCCGTCTCTACTAAATACAAAATTAGCCGGGGCGGTTGTGGGCCTGAGTCCAGCTACTCGGAGGAGGAGAAGGTAACCGGGAGCGGAGCTTGCAGTGAGCCGAGATGGCCACTGCCTCCAGCTGGCGACAGAGCCAGACTCCGTCTCAAAAAAAAAAAAAAAAAAAAAAAGAAAAGAAGTCCCCATTCCTCCATGCCTCAGGGGTAAGACATTCATAACACACAGACAGAGAAGTGGGAGGCAGGAGCCCTGCTGCTCTGAAGCTGGAAGATAACACAGAAAGGGGCCCTCGAGAGACAGTGTTGGGTTTAGATAGGGTCTTCGCTCTCACTCTCAATTGTATTGTCTAGCGTTTAGAGTCCTGGCTGACTCATCATTTAGAGTCATAAGAACTTTAAGACACATTTAATTTGGGGTATCTTAGAACTTGAATTTATTTATTCTTCCACTCCCTGAACAGTGCTGGCAGTTTACCACGAACTAGTGCCTTGTTATTAAGACCATGGCCAGAGCAGCGCTGTCATTTACAAGATATGGTTGGAGTTTTAAACATACCCTTGGGGATTTTACTGTATGTGAATACATTTTCATTGCATTTTAATATGTGCTTTTCAGGGTGATCAGAAGGAGTCTTCCCAGTAACTGTTTCCATATTAAGAGCTTGGCACGTATCTATATTAATAAGTACTGTGTATGAGATTGGAAGTGCTTTATGTTTCAAATAGTTACTAGAGGACAACAATGTGTAATTTTGAGTTATGTGTATACCTGATCATCAAAAATGCACATTCCTGGCCGGGCGCAGTGGCTCATGCCTATAATCCTAGCACTTTGGGAGGCCGAGGCAGGTGGATCACCTGAGGTCAGGAGTTTGAGACCAGCCTGGCCAACATGGCAAAACCCCGTCTCTACTAAAAATGCAAAAATTAGCTGGGCATGGTGGTAGACGCCTGTAATCCCAGCTACTTGAGAGGCTGAGGCAGGAGAGTTGCTTGAACCCAGGAGGTGGAAGTTGCAGTGAGCCAAGATTGTGCCACTGCACTCCAGCCTAGGTGACAAGAGTGAAACTCGTCTCAAAAAAAAAAAAAAAAAAAAGGCCAGGCATGGTGGCTCATGCCTGTAATCCCAGTACTTTGGAAGGCCAAAGTGGGCGGATCACGAGGTCAAGAGATAGAGACCATCCTGGCCAACATGGTGAAACCCCGTGTCTACTAAAAATACAAAAATTAGCTGGGCATGGTGGCGCATGCCTGTAGTCCCAGCTACTCAGGAGGCTGAGGCAGGAGAATTGCTTGAACCCAGGAGGTGGAGGTTGCAATGAGCCAGGATCACGCCACTGTATTCCAGCCTGGTAACAGAGCAAGACTCTGTCTAAAAAAAAAAAAAAAAAAAAGTGCTAATTACTTAAAATCATGCACACAGGTCCAAGTTATGGGTTGCTTGAAAACGTTCATGAAAATAAATCCCCAAAGTGAAATGAGATATTATTGTGAAATCAGATAAGAATTGTTTATTTTCCTATACTTTACTAGCTTGACGCATCATAAGGAGAAATTAAGAGCTATATTGACATTAAATTCTAAACAACAGCTTTAATATATATAATGGCCTGAACTTAATAGGAAGAAAATCCAATTTAGTATTCTGTGTTTGACATGTTATGTAAGGAGTTCAGGTGGGGAGAAAAGGCAGTCTTCATATTACTTCATATTGCTTAGTAGAGGCAAAAAGTGAATGATGCCATGGTTATTTATGAAAAGGTCCAAAAAGAATGTCTTGGGGAGGGTCAGGCAACCCCAGGGAAACAGGCCTGGGGGTGCTAACTTTCTCTCTGGTTAACACAGCGTTTTTCTGGGTCCGTTTACTCTGACCTTCCTCCTGCTTTCAGTTCTGGGAGATGATTGGTGAGGAGCACGGGATCGACTTGGCTGGGAGCGACCGCGGGGCCTCAGCCTTGCAGCTGGAGAGAATCAGCGTGTACTACAATGAAGCCTACGGTAGGACTGGCAGGGCTCTGGGAGCAGTGGTCCTGCAACTAGGAACATAAGTAGAGGAAGGGCAGAGGCCCAGGAGATGGAAATGTCAAAGCAGTGATGTCTAGGTTCAGGGAGGCGACAGGCAGGGCAGCAGCAGGATCCCAGAGTGGTAGGTCCCCAACCCTTGGTCAAGAGGCAGGACTGGGGAAGGAGCTGCTGGATGGGGCACACACCTTAACTCAAGCAGGTCAAGTACTCACTTCCCTTTGTGGCTTCACAGATGAAACCAGAATCATTTCCAGTGCGAAGGAAGAGAATCTCTGTCACTGGCAATACCACAGGGCAGACGATGGAAATTGTTTCTTGGGTATTCTATAGATTTGTGGTATTGTTGTTGGGGTAAAAAATATGTTAGATACTCAAATCTCAACCTACCAAGGGCCCCTTTCTAGAATATCCATGATTTTTTTGGACCAGTATCACAAAGTTCTCTTTTGATAAAACATTAACTTCTAGAAAAACAAATAGGCTGACTTTTTCCTATTTTTCTACACAGGTAGGAAATATGTGCCCCGAGCAGTCTTGGTGGACCTAGAACCTGGGACGATGGACAGCATTCGATCTAGCAAATTAGGAGCCCTCTTTCAACCTGACAGTTTTGTCCATGGTAGGTTTTTCCAGAAGGTTCCACCAGGAGCAGGGGGGATGCCTTACTGGTGCCCTTCTCTTTTCACTTTTCTTCCCCTGCTGGTTACTCTTTTTGGTCACAGGTAACTCTGGAGCTGGCAACAATTGGGCCAAAGGCCATTACACGGAGGGAGCCGAGCTGATTGAGAACGTCCTGGAGGTAGTGAGGCACGAGAGTGAGAGCTGTGACTGCTTGCAGGGCTTCCAGATCGTCCACTCCCTGGGCGGGGGCACAGGCTCCGGGATGGGCACTCTGCTCATGAACAAGATGAGAGAGGAGTACCCGGACCGGATCATGAATTCCTTCAGTGTCATGCCTTCTCCCAAGGTGTCGGACACGGTGGTGGAGCCCTACAATGCAGTTCTGTCTATCCACCAGCTGATTGAGAATGCAGATGCCTGTTTCTGCATTGACAATGAGGCCCTCTATGACATTTGCTTCCGTACCCTGAAGCTGACGACACCCACCTATGGGGATCTCAACCACCTGGTGTCCTTGACCATGAGCGGCATAACCACCTCCCTCCGGTTCCCGGGTCAGCTCAACGCAGACCTGCGCAAGCTGGCGGTGAACATGGTCCCCTTCCCCCGCCTGCACTTCTTTATACCTGGCTTTGCCCCACTCACAGCCCAGGGCAGCCAGCAGTACCGAGCCCTCTCCGTGGCCGAGCTCACCCAGCAGATGTTTGACGCCCGCAATACCATGGCTGCCTGTGACCCCCGCCGTGGCCGCTACCTCACAGTGGCCTGCATTTTCCGGGGCAAGATGTCCACCAAGGAAGTGGACCAGCAACTGCTCTCCGTGCAGACCAGGAACAGCAGCTGTTTTGTGGAGTGGATTCCCAACAATGTCAAGGTGGCCGTCTGCGACATCCCACCCCGGGGGCTGAGCATGGCTGCCACCTTCATTGGCAACAACACGGCCATCCAAGAGATCTTTAACAGGGTCTCTGAGCATTTCTCAGCCATGTTCAAGAGGAAAGCTTTTGTGCACTGGTATACCAGCGAAGGGATGGACATCAACGAATTTGGGGAAGCTGAAAGTAACATCCATGATTTGGTATCCGAGTACCAACAATTTCAAGATGCCAAAGCAGGTCTAGAGGAAGATGAAGAGGTCATGGAGGAGGCAGAAATGAAGCCAGAAGATAAGGGACATTAACGGTGAGAGAAGCTGTGCCGTGGAGTCGCTTACAGAACAGTTTCACATTAGACGAGTGTTTCTCCTGCAGCACTCCAAAACCTATTCTGCACTGCAGCACAGTGAATGATACGCACTCATCATTAGCTTCGACACGGGGACTGCGGGAGACAGGTGGGGAACAGCTGACAGGCATTAGGGTCTTTGCTGACATTTACTAACCTTGAAGAGTTTGACATTCAATGCATACTTATTAGCTTAAAAAAATAGCAAATTTATTGTAAAGTGCTCCCTTTGTTTCAAAGTGTTCACTGAGTATTTTATTACATGCCCTGTGCCAGGCACCCAGACTACACATGTGGATTTGCAGGAAGCCACTGGAGTTGGTGTTAACATTTTTAAACTTTAGCAGCACTGATAAGCACCCTGGAATCCTCACTTGGTATCCGAGGGTTACTAAGACTCTTCCCTTAGGTTCTTTCCTTTGAGCAAACACTGCCTGCCGTCCTGCCTTCCTGTGCCTGCCAGCCTCCAGAAGAGCCAGGTGCCTGACTAGTACATGGGGAGCTACAGAGCCAAGGTCAATGTGAGTCAACATCCACTAGAAATATCCATGTTGTGTAGACCTGTGCACACACATGCTAACTGGAAAAGAGGAAAAAAGAAAAGCCACAGTCCTCTCCACAAAAACACCTGGTCCAAACATGAAAAACAAAAAGACAAGCAAAACTAAAGAACTGCAGTCCTCTGATCTTTATTTCTGAAGAGCTAGCCTTTAACATATACGTTTATATAGTTTAAATTTCTTACTACTGTTAGATCCCAGTAATTCATTAATCATCATCCTTGGTTTTCCTTTTAGAGGCTATTTTGAAATGCTCTTTTCACTTTCATTCAGCCATCACCCCCCAAAATGCTCTGCAGCCTCTCTGCTCTGAGAAACGGCACACCATCCGCTCGGCAACAATTCAAATGCAGGAATTAAGCAGCAATGGCTGCAGTGTCCTTCTCAGTTACGGAGGACATCGTCTCATTAGAAAACTTTTACAGTTCAAATTAATTTGCAGAAGTTGCCATAAATGTCTGCATAATGACACAGCTTTAACCACTACATGATTTTAATCTGCTCACATTACAACAGGACCAAATACACAAGAGCGTAATCAAATCATCCGTAACTTCTTAATTACAGTTTACCTATTTCTGACATGCAGCATTGCCATCTCTTCCAGTACCATCAGGGTTTTAATGGCCCTCTAGAATTACCACTGAGATGCACTATTTGATCCATGGATAACTGGTAATGGGAAAATGCTCCGACCCTCAATGCAGTAAATATTTACTTGCCGGCAACTGGGTTCTCATCTCTTGATTTGCTTTTGTAATTGGCAATAATAAAATAGCAGGTGGATGGATGACAGTTGCTTATTCTGAGAAACTTCACTCTTTTCACGTATGCATCATGAGGAAATACTAAAATACATACCAAGAGAAAAAATACCTTGCCATCGGATCATCAACAAGTCTTCTATTTACAAACTTCAAAAAACACAACAATCATGTTTTAAATGCTTTCTACTTGTGGTTCAAGAAGTACTAGATTTAGTAAGAAACTCCACCTATACACTTTGTTTGAAGTTAGTAACTTCCTGAGATGCTAAAGACTTACAGCCTGCGATTATACAAGGATTTACACATGCTTCCTCTGGTGCTTTACTTCTAAAATCTAAAAAGGCAATGAAATAGGTATAAGGAGAGAGGGATTTAAACCTTTTAAAAAACTTTTGCTGACTTATATTACTGTAAAGATTTGTTTGCTCAATAGTAATCATTAAAGTACAAAATAATTCAATTTTAAATGGCAAAATTGCTTTATTTCAGACTAAATAAATTCCTTTTCTTGAAGCCTAACCACCCAGACTGAGTAGTTAAAAATATTTAGAAATGCATCTCACCATCCTACTCTTTCGTATGGTAGAAATAGATTTAAAAACACAAAACACAAACTAGAAACCTAAGAAATCTGTCCCTTCTGATTTTGAAGAGCTTATTCCTTTAGCAGTATGGTTGCTACGGCGACCTTGGTCTCTCAGAGACCGAGGTCTCTGAGCACAATCACCGAATTTTAGGGCTTATCCAATTCCTTCACTTTACTCACAAGGACTACGTGAACTAAGAGATTAACTGACAACCTCAAACATCTTCCAACTAGTTAGTGGGATACTCATTAAGTTGGTCTGATTGGGGTCACCTCATCATTGGGCACAGTCATCCTGCCAGTTACTCAGCACTGCTGGAGAAAGGAAGTTTATTTCATTATACTACTGGTTCAGGATATCTACTAATCACAGAGAAAAGAGCCTCTAAGAATCTCTGCTGGACAGTAAACTTGTCTTTTACTCAGTTAGTTCACTCCTTTCCATATCACAAGCCCTGTCCCTAAGTCTCACCTCTACCATCCGCCTCCTTAATAATATACCATCTATATACCAATAATCTACCAATATACTATCAATCTACTATACCATCTATATACCAATAATACCCCATCTGCCTCCTTAATAAATGACTTATCTCTAATTACCTGACTGGAAATAATTTAGCCTCTTTGCCTATTAGTTACTTTATTTGTCCTGTGTCAAAAAGGCCTGACAGCCTTTTGATTCATTTATGCCTGTTCTCTGTAATGGAGGATGCTTCCTAGTACCTTAATCTTGGGGACCACAGCACTGAACTGAGGTGCCCTAACTTGCAAGCAGGAGGATGACAGCTCCGAGGTGAAGGACCCCAAGGGCTCCTAACCCGCTGTTGTCCAGAGGCACCCTCTCACTCAATCGGCTCTGCCTCCCTGCTCGCTCTGTGCTGAGAATTCAGTAAAACCTACAGGTCAAGTGTTGGGACAATAAGTCATTCCCAGAAGCCGAGAACAAAGACATTCTATTTGGCTTAGCCTCGGCATGGCTGACAGTGGCCCAGATAAATTATTGTGAGCTTTAAGTACCATGTGAAAACTGGTCCCAGAACGGTGTTTCAAAATTTCCAGTTCAAATTTATTTCTCTATTCTCCAAAAACAGTTAAAATTAGGCAATTAACTTTTCAATGGTGTCTTACTTGCTCAAGCGCTTCCAAGTTTCAAAGAAAGGTAACGACATAACTTGCAACAATTTTCCATCCCTAAATAATGAATGAATGAATCACTATGGAAATATCAAGAAACTGATGTTGTGGTCACCGTGTCTCAGACCTACAGTCAAAACTCCTAGATTTTAACTTCAGTTTGGCTATCAACTCAATGAGCAAGTTATTAAATAGTTTTCAACATTTCCTAAGAGAGATGCTACCACAATATATTCATTTACAAAACAATGTGAAAAACATTTTGTGCTTAAATTCTGTAATTGTTCTTATCTATAGGTTTTAAGTGCACAATACGAGTACAATTTAGTATTTCTTCTTCTAATCAATGCTTTCAGTATTTAATAATTATTTCCATGTAGGTTACTGATGACCATGTCATTATTCTGACATGGCAACAATTCAAACATAAGGGACTACAAAGCCTCAATGACAGCAGATAATTTTGATCACCAATTAATGTCATGAAACAACTATTTTGAGACATTTTCAAAATCCTTTCTGAATCCCTTTGGTCACTATATATTAAATCTGCCTTCCCCTGCTTTTAAGAAACCCTGGTTCACATGGCCATAATCACGCAACTGTGCAGAGTTCCTTTAAAGAAAATGAAAAAGTCTGACAAACTAAAAATCAAGAGTAACAGTGAACCATACTTCAATTTATTGACATTGTCAATTTATGAACAAGACAGGAATTTTTTTTTTCCCCATGAAATGAGATCCTTTTCAATCTGCCATAACATGTGCCCACACATCTTCACCTTGGAAATGTAGCATTTCAAGCTTTAGTCAGGGTCTAGGAGGAAAAAGAAAATGCAACAGTTGCTGGCTAGTTCTTGGTTTTCTTAAAAACTCAACATGAATATAAGAAATAACTTCCTTATAGTGAACTGTATAACCGTGGCTATCATTCACACTGCCTTGGCTCAGATGTAAAAAAGCACTGGTTCAAGTACACAGGTTTAATCAAGCAGGCATTTCTCCGCTGACTAAAAGTAAACACTCTCCCAGCAATAAAGAAACTACTTTGCCTTTAAAAGACACTAACATCTCCTTGTGCTAATGAGGTGGGGTCAGTAACCCCGAAGGGCATAACAGAGAGGGGCTAATGTTCCTGACCCCCAGGACTTTGCAAAATCTCAGCGTTAGATGCAGTCTGGTGGCTCTGAGCCGAGTGAGGCTAACTGATTTTCTGTTAGCTTACTTTTTTTTTTTTTTTTTTGAGACGGAGTCTCGCTCTGTCACCCAGGCTGGAGTGCAGTGGCCGGATCTCAGCTCACTGCAAGCTCCTCCTCTCGGGTTCACGCCATTCTCCTGCCTCAGCCTCCCGAGTAGCTGGGACTACAGGCACCCGCCACTTCGCCCGGCTAGTTTTTTTTATTTTTTAGTAGAGACGGGGTTTCACCGTATTAGCCAGGATGGTCTCGATCTCCTGACCTCATGATCCGCCCGTCTCGGCCTCCCAAAGTGCTGGGATTACAGGCTTGAGCCACCGCGCCCGGCAGCTTACTGTTAAAACAAAACAACCCAACATAAAATTTAAAACAAAACAACCCAACATAAAACCAGGTCTCATTACTCAGAATTATAAGATTAGACAGAGAGCCCCTAGAAAAAGGGCTAAATTCAAAACACTGCATCTCCAGACTTGTAATAAAATATTTACTAATTCAAAATGAAAATGAAAAGTTAGGGGAGACAGTTTCAATAAGTAAAATTGCTCATAACCACAAGCTGCCAAAGAATTAATATTTATCACATTTCTGTGCTATTATGGGTCTGAAGCTTTTTAAAAGCAAAACTAGAAAAATTAAACCTGAAAAACATCTCTGATAATTTGCCTTGCCTACTTTTGAAATAACAATGTCAAGAAAGTACTTTTGAGATCAAACCACTTTTATAATTTGGAACACAAAAGTCTACACTTATCAACTGTACAGAACTTTTTATTTCATGTGAATGTAACTTTACATCACCAACATCTTTGAAAAAGTAAAATGAACCAAACCCTCTGGAAACATAATAAATTAGCAAAACAGTATTCACTGCAGGTTCTTGCATATTTTATTGCTTGATGCAACAGCAGGACCCTTGCCTGTACTTGTAGTTATTATGTTCGGGAAGCAGTGGTTTGTGAGAATATTAGTAGATGTGGGGGAAATAAAAATGTAAAGAACTGTAGTTTTTTATGCTCTTAAACTATTATGTAACTCCAATAGCAATTATAAAAGTGGGGAGTTCATCCTCCAAGTTATTTGATTTGTGCAGACAAATGAAACAGGTTTAACTAAAATAAGATGGCTCTCTACCTAAGCATTGCTAAATGAATTGAAAATCAATGTGCCAATTACTTCTGCTTGTCGGGCCCAAAAAGACTTTCTTTTTATTAGGCCATGGGACTTCTATAACCTGCATGCTTTAAATTATATTATCCTAATAACTTCCAAATACACTGACTAAAAAATGAATAGAACCCAAAATTAAAATTATTTTGATTTTTACGGTGCTCTAAAAACTTAAGATGCAACTGTTCTTCTAAATACATCAGTAACTTACAGATTATTCCTTCTTTACTTTCACAATTTTGACGCTGCTGCCAGAAGCCTTCTCGGCATTTGCTTTGAATTCTGTCTTCAGTGCATCTCTGACTGCTTTTGCACAGATCTGGGAGTATCGGATGTAGCTGGGAGAAAATGAGAGAAGGTATATAGTTAATTATCAATATTCCAGCCAGACCAACTGTTACTACTGTGCTTTCGCTTTTCTTCCTGTACTTTTTATTTTGGTTTGGTAGTACCTCATTGCAGAACTGGTTTTAAAAATATGACTAATGCCAAAAACAATCTATACAAAGCAAAAGAACACTAGAAAAATATGTACCAAAGTATTAATTGGTGTTTGGACAGATGATCTTTGATTTTTCTTCTTTGTACTGTGTTTTCTCTTTAGTGTATAGTAATTCAAAATAAAAGATGCATAAATGTTTTTAAAAATCCCACAGCACAGGAAAAAAAAAAACCCTGAAATGTTTAGCGACTATAACAAGAATGCATCATCAATTCTCTCCTCAATTTCTCTCCTTAAAACTTTTATTACTCTTGGAAAATGAGGTATAATTAAGAGAAAACTATTTTGAATTACAATTCTTTCTAAATTATTTAAACTCTTTTCCGAGAAAAATGAATTCTGTCTTACAAGTCTGCCACTGAAAATACCTCCTAATCAAGATTTCTAAATGACACTGAAAAGTGCTTTGAGAACATCATCAATTCTAGCAAAATTGTAAAACCTGCTTCCTGTTTGGTAGATGGACTCCCATCAACGTTGTAGTTTCCAAAAGATGTCAGATCACCTTTCCCACTTTTGAAAAACAGGAAGTGGGGAGGGGTGCAATTTTCTCATGTTTTAGAATTTGTTTTGGGGACTCTGAAGTATGAGTTCCAATGCCTGCTTCCATTCTTACTAACTGGTGACCTTCAGGCTGTTCAAACTTTTCAGCATGTTTATTCACCTGAAAAAACAATAGAATAAAAGGATAATACCTGTCCTGCTGATAGCTGGGAGGAGGAAAAACAAGTGCGAAAAGGTATGGATCACAGGGTAGGTTGCCTAATAAATGGTATCTACTACCTTCCATCCTTCCAATTCTACAAGACTTCGCTTGCTTGACTTCAGCAAGTTGGGAAGCTCCGTTGTAGTGTAGTCACATGTACCCACAAAATGTAAAGTGCTACACCATCTAGTCAACTAACAAGGTGTGTCACCGGGAGCAAGGTACTTCTGCTCACTCAGGCGCACGGATAAAAAAAATTAGATGTGACACCTAGACCAATGGTTTGCGGTTCCACTATTGAGACACCATGTCCTCAAGTGGGTTCCATATTTGAGCTTTCCAGGAGCCACCTCTCACCTTTGTGCGGAGCTCTGAATAGTTTACCAGTGGCTTTCACCCCTTTTACACGGAAACCTGAGATCAACAGGAATTAATAGTTAAAAAAAAAAATGTGTAAAGTTGTAAAAGGCTCCATCTCGATGCTGGATTAAAAGTCAAAGCGGCTAACAGCTGTCACGTGGAGAGAAATCTCCTGTTTACTGAGGTGGATGTGACTGTACTACTTTCACCACCTGGCTCCAGCACCATTCTAGAAGAAAAAGGTTTAATGAGTAAGAGCTGGCCTCTCTCTCTCGAAACCTCCCATTCACAAAGGTGTCCACGGGCACTGTGCGGGTGCTGGGCCGCACCTGTGGGAAGCGAGGCAGTACACAGACGCACTCCCACGCGAGGCCGAGGCCTCGCCTGCCTGAGCGCTTTGCCCACAGCGACGCCATCTTGGCGGCGACGCCCGAGGTTCGGCCCAACCCCGGTCACGCGTGGGGCCACTGCTCCGTGTCCTGTATGACCTCTGGGCACGGGGATGCGCGCGGGCCGGGCTCGCGGGGCCCTTCCCTCTGGAGGCCTGGGCCTACCTGAGTCCAGCCTGTCGCCAGTAGGCCACCATGCTGTAGCGAAAGTGGAGCGCGTCGGACCGAATCGCTAAGACGCCGACAATGTCGGCTCAGCCGGGCGGTTCAGCCGCAGGAAGAGCAGACCACAGAAGCGGAAGGGGCGGGACGTGCGGACCTGCCAATCGCCGCCTCCTACCCGGCCCCGCCCCTGCGCGCGGCCCCTGCTGCCCTGCCGCGGAAGCCCCCCGGCGCCGGGAGCCAATGGGCGCGCGCGATCTGGACTGCGGGTGCCAATCCCCGGGCGGGTTGGCCGGCCGCGCCCACCTATTGGCTCCAAGAGCGCCCGGGGAGTGTGTCCCAGAGCTTCCGTATTGCCCCGGCGGGGGCGACCGGGGCAAGAAGGCAAGAAGGCAAGAAGGCCGGGGCAGCTCCGCTTGCTGAGGGCCGCGGAGTCGCGTACTTTCGGGAAGCGAAGACGCGAGGCGGCGCGGGCACGGCGGCCCCGAGGGCCTGGCTTTGCACGCGCTTCAGGGAAACGGCGCCGGCTCTTTTGTATCTGTGGGCAGACAAGCGTGTCCTGAGAGCTGAGATTTAGAAAGGCTCTTAGGGCACCCCCTTTCTCGGAGTGACACTAAACCCTGGAAACCCAGTGGAGACTGGCGTTTTCTGTAGTTCTAGGACCTGCTTCCGATGTGCGACATGAGGGAGGGTAAGGCAATAGTTGCCACTGTTGCCCGTAATGGATGGGAAGAAAAATGTGTGGAAAACTCACTGGAGGCACGGGGGAGCTGCCACGGGGCCGGGAAAATGCTCATCTCAGTGCCTGTGATAGAAGCTCTAACCCAATGCAGTGAAGGCTCACAGTCTAGGAATTAAAGTGTTTCTGTCATAAAGAAAAGAAGCCTTTGCCCTTCACCTTTAATTACTAAAAAGAAATTATAATCAGGAAAAACATCACTTAAAAGAAAGTTTTTATTAACAAAAGTTTTTCTTAATCCACATATCAACTTTAGTATTAAATAGTCCAAGGGTTTCATTTATGAACACTTATTCCAGTTTAGTTCTCTTAAATTCATTTGCTTGTTGTGCATTTATGTTTAACTGCACTGGAAAATGAAAATTTATAGAGTTTTATCATTAGGTCAGAGTTTAAAAAAAATCAAAGGATAAGGATTTAAAAATCTCTATCATTAGGTCATTACACCTTTTTCAGAACAAGGATAATTTGCAGAAATTATACAAAGCAGATTTTCATCAAGTATCAATTATTTAGCGATATTTTATTTAGCTGAAATGTTATTTCACTTGTAAAAACTATCTCTGGTTACAAAAAAACAATCAGAAACCTTATTAAATTTAACCTGCTTTTACAAATGTCCTAAGAAGTCTTAAGCTAAACAATGTTTAAGTAGGAAAACGATAATTTAAAAATAGTTTGTTATACTATTTCTGTGGTTTATGTACATATATTAACTGGTCTCTTTGATAGAAAACATGACTAGAAGTTTATCACACTAAGCACTGTAAAATAAAGGCAAGAGCTAATCATCTTCTAACAAAAATACTCTATGCAACAATTGCAAATGTCAAAGCTATTATTTAGTGGTTAATTGCCTGCTACAATATATAAAACAAAGTACATTTACTAGATTGTTTTTCAGTTTGCAGCTGCCCTCCTGACATCCCAAATAAGGAATTCCCATAAGTAAAACCTGCAGTGCAATTCACGTAGTGGTTAGTTTCAGGCCAAGCCTCCCCCTACCATTATCCTTGTTCTTCCCCACCACCCCCAAATCCTGCAGTGGCACCATATTATTAAAAACACTAAGTACCTGGGGTTTATGCCTCAGAGCAAGACATCATTTGAGTAATTTGAAATGATGTACAGCTCCTTCATGTAAAAAAGATGTTTTGTGGTCACAATTACTTCAAAAAGTAATTATATTCAAATAACCTGACATATGCCTTAGCAATTACAAAACCATGATTTTGACACATGGCAATTTTTAAGTTAGGCAAATGTGAAATGCTAAAAGATGTGAACAGCTGTTCTTCTGTTTAAGTTAGAGCGCTGCAAAACTCAGGTAATTACTTTATTTTTTTCGGTTAACATAACCAGCCCACGACACAGCATACTAAATCACAAAGTACAAATCCAAGGAAGTTAATACCTTTACTAAGTCACAAAACTTTGGCAAATCAATACAGTACTCTTTTATAATGAAACCATACTTTTGTTGGAGTCATGTTACTTCAGTGATAATTTTTCACTACAAAAATATTTAAGTACCAAATCAAAACACTGGTTTTTAATGGTGGTTTATAGCAGAGTAAGGTATTTTACACAAAAAATATTTTACAACTACACAATTTCTCCTTTTAAGTGAGCTCCCTTGTGCAAGCTGTTGAAGTGTACAGCAGCAGGGCAATGGGTGTCTATAGGAGGTGGCTCTGCTCTGTTCTGGGGTTGGTCCAAAGTCAGGTGGAGTTCCAATGTATGAAAAGCTTGAAAATTCTACCTTAAGGAGATTGAATATCAATACCAGTTTCCAAGAAGTTCTTGTTCAGTTTTCACAGAAATATTGGAACCCTCAAAATCAAGATAGTAATTTCAAACAACATTAATTTCAGATGATCCCTTTTATTTAGAGGCCCTGCATCTTTTAGATCAAGTCACATAGCCTTATACCTACTTATAAAAAAACAAAAAACAAAACCCCAAAATATAGTTGTATTTTTTAAATAACAAATAAATATATAGTCAGCTTGGAGAGACCTGGAGTACCCGATGTTGTCTACCAACTGTCATGATCACTTCTCTGCAAACGCTGCTGCTGCCATTGGAGTCCTTATGGTTCCTCTTGCTGAGGCTGTCAGTTCTTCAATCTCAGCATTTAATTTATGTATTACCCATTCCATTGCTTCTCGGCCCTTAAACAAAAATCCAATACATTTATTGTTACTGAGTGAGAGCAAAGGCATATATCCAACTAATGACACACCAGGAAGTAACAAGGAGTATGACAAGTTTAACTCAATCTCAGGATGACAGATCATTTTTGTCCTGGCTTTTTCTTTTCTAATGTTATTTAGCAAACATCAAATGCCTTGAGCAACTGGCTTGATCCATAAACTGACTTTTATTTTGTATGCAAAAGATGTTCTCAAATGAATCTACAATGACAGAATGTCTTATTTGTTTCATGATTATAGTGGTCCCCTTTTCAGGGGGACAAGAAGGTCAAATCCCTTTTCTTTATATTGTAAACCAAAATCCTGTACAAGGGATCTGGTCCTCAACTCCCTCCTCACCCCTTCTCTCCTAGTGTTCTATGCAGTTCCTTGAAAAACAGAAAGAGCACTCCCCACTTCCTGTTCCAGGGCCTTTGCACACGCAGCTCCTCCACCTAGAACACTTTTCTTGGCATACCGCTCGCAATCCACCTGCCCCCATTTGGCGCTCAGCAGAAACATCAGTTACTGAACACTCATTAAGCACTCTCATACCTTTCTGTACCTTTTCTTTCCTAATGAAATGCTGTGTGATTAATTTCACCTGCCTCTTAGTTCCACGAGGGCAGGGACCACATTTATTTTGCTCCCTGCTGTATCCCCTGTCTAGCCTAGCACTCTGCATGGCACAGAGAAGGCATCCATGAGTATCTCCTGATAACTACATTAACCATGTGTTATGCAACAGTGCATTAGGCATCTTTCTCTAAACTTACTGTTTTAGATCATGCATTCTCAATAAACAAAAATTGGTTCTTGGGGGGGATGGAAAAAATTTCCCTCTTTTATGTATAAAGTCCACACATATGTATATGTTACATAACTTAATGGAGGTGGCAATTAGGGAAAATATGTCTCAAACGAGCTGGGGGGAGACAATAGTGAAAAAGGTTGAGAAACAGTGCTTTAAATGACACACAGCTACACATCATTGAGTATTTCCTGAGTGCTGGGCCCCAGGCTACACACTTTCCATATGTTATCTCATTTACTCCATGCAAACCCTGTAAAATGGGTAATCTCCACTTCAAAAACAGGAAATTGAGGCATAGAAAGGTTAACTTAATTGCCCAAAGTTAAAAGGCTAAAAGTTAGAGCTTGGATGTGAACCCAGAGCCTTGGTAAGTAACTGTCCAACGTGCTGCAGTTTCCTATGGTAGAACTGGCAAGGGTTGGCTTACAAGGACACATGTGCAGTCAGCACCCCATTCCATTCCTACGAAACGAACCAGGGATAATAACCAAGAAGCAGCCTCACTTACTTTACTAGCGTTTGAGGATATCGTACTTGCCATCAGTCCTTCAAGGTAACTGCTGAGGCTAACGCCTTTCACAGTGATTATGGCTTCTTGAGTCAAAACGGTTCTGGAACAAAACATATTCATACAGATTCAGATGATCCAGCTTTCATTTTCAAAAAACTTGATTAAAAAAACTTAAACACCCTTTACAATACATTTGTTAAAATATTTTTTACTCACTTGTCTGGATCCTGAGGATGTGGTTTGTATATAAGTCTCTCATCTACTGAAACCATGTTTGTAAATGAAATCTACAGAATGAAAAAAAAAAAAAAAAGGTCAAATCATTTTGGAACTGAAGATTCAAAATGTTGCCAAAATCAACACACAAGCCAAAATCTTACTAAACATATAAAACAACAAACAAACCGCTGCTATTATTGCATAAACTATTCACTGTCTACTTATTATTTAAAAAGTAAAGTTGAGGAAATAAAGTATAATAATGATAATACACATAATCCCAAACTCATTTTATTGAGTGCCATCCCCTTAGAGATAGGCAGGATCATGAGAGCAGGAAGTTTGGAAGCGACACCCAGGGCCAAGTCAGGCCAGCACATAAGCAGGGATTCTCTGAACCACACCATGAACATGCACTCACTTCTATGGCAACTAGGAGAGAGACAAAGAACTCAGCCAGATAGTTAGAAATGAAACAAAAGGAAGCCAAGACTTACATTAGTAGATTTAAGTTCCATT